AGTATCCCCGAAATTGGGAGAGGAAACACGGGCTGTAAAGACGATGGTAGGAACGGTATCGCCGGGGTGAAGAATGGAGAGAGGAATGACTTCGAGTGCGGAAGGCAATATCTGAACCGAATCGGAGGAAGTGGTCGAAGAAGGAGATTGAGGTGCAGAATCTGGAAAAAGCAAAACAAAAGCGAAATCAAAAAGGGAAAAGCTTTCGAAAAAGGTGAGACTTTCAAAAACTAGGGTTTTACGGGGAGGCGATTTTGAAGAAATTAAAGAGGAAGAGCAGGAAGTTCAGAAGATTTTAGAAGAGAGGAGAAAAATATACAACGATTAACAGATAAATCACAACATTCAGAGCACAAATTCAGGATAAAACGCACAAATCCAGAAAGTTCAACAAATAAATTCGGGATACCCAACGCGAAAAAATTCAAAGAACAGGTAAAATCGAAACACAGGAAATGTAAATTCAAGCGAGGAACAACTTACTCATAGTCGCAGATGAGGAAATCAAGAGAGCCGGAAGAGTGTAAGAGAAATCGCCGAGAAAGAAGAGCAAGGGTTCCAGAGGAATTTCAGAGCACAAAGAGTTCGAAATTTGCAAAGGTGGAAAAACTCAGAAAATTCGCTAAGTGTTGAATTTGTAGTTTGAAGAGTTGAAGGGTTGAAAGATGAGAGTCGTTGGATTAAAGCCAGATCTTACGGTGGAAAACATTAATTCACACGGCGCTCAATGTGGGCGCGTTATGCAAGAGGTGCAATAATTAAAGTGGCTGACAGGTGTGACGCGTGGCAGAAAAAAAGGCACGACAGAAAGGACGTGTGGCAGACAACTTTATTGTTGGCAACTAAAGAAGAATTAATTGAAAAATGGACGGGCAACCCACTAGGTGGTCGATATCTGACATCATGCCATCAAGGAAAGCGAGAAGCACAAATTCACTCTTAGATCGAGTCATCCAGACTCGACCAGAGTGGGGAGATTAGATGATATCGGATATTATACCCACAAGGCTAAACCTGTCTGCTGAACCGGTCGAAGAGGCCATGACGTGAAGAAACCAAGCCGAGTGGCGGGAAAATCGACCAGCCAACTAGTCAACCGGTCAAGTAGTCGACCAATCCATCATTCGACCAGGAAGATGATCAAGCAGTTTAGTCGACCTCAACAGGTCGACCACTCCGTGGACTTAGCACTCCATAAATCGGCCTAGTCACAGGCGCGTGTAAGAGCCTTTAACAGAATTTCAGAAGAATATTCACTCCGTGTGCAGGAGGACACGTGTCGAGAACCTATTGGTTGATAGCGACAACCACCTCTGACAGCTCCCAACGTCCCGCGCCACCTCTGACATGCGCGCGATGTGTCAGAGTACGGACGGGCAGCTTGGGCAGCCAGCTCATCAAATCCGGGCAGCCTTAGGTCAGGTATTTCACTTCTATATAAAGGGGGTGAGCCTTTCTTCCTTAACACGATTTTTCCATTATTCAACTCCAGTATACTCATACACATACTGACTTAATCTTCGGAGGCTCTTTACCGGACACAACCCCGGTGTGAGAGTTATTTGTAGGTTTCTGGCGTTCTACCGGCGAAGGCGAGGTTCGATCTATCCTAAACCGGGCCAGGATGCTCACACTTGCATTATGATGCTATAAATTTTAATTGGCAATATATAATTTAGTAATTTAGAGGGACCATTCAATTAATTAGTTAGAAAAGTAATACATTTTTATATTATTGCTACAGCAATGGTTTATTTGATTTTAAGTTGTTTAATTATGACACTCATGCCAAACTACTAATATTAGATAAAAATCGGTTAAAAAGACAAAAAAAAAATAAAAATATTTTAGAAAAAAGTATTTTAGATAAAAAATTTGCAATACAGTTTTTTTATAAGTATGTACCTTCCACATACTATTTAATGAATTAGTTAGTGTTAGTAGTATTACTGTATTATATAATAAATTAATTTAAAATTGTTATTACACTTTATTATGTTTCCACATTAACTGAAAAAATGAAGAAGAAAATTATTAAAGTTTAATTAATTAGGTTTAATTTATTGCTTTAGCAGCAATTATATATATACATATATTTTATTGAGTTACAAGTTCATGGAATTAAATTAAGGGCTTAAAGATTTCATTATAGAAATTCATTTTCTTTCATTGTTTTCCCTTTTCAAAAAAATGCCGATTTTTTTTCTTTCTTTTTATTTTTTTCCTTTTGTGCAGACTCCCTCTCTCATTGGTAAGTGAAAACATGAAAAATTTATCCAGTATTTTAATCTTCGAAGATACTGATAAAAAACTTGTGTTATGACTATTATTATTATGATTAATAAAAAGCAGATTCAGGGATAATATTGTAACATCTTCGAAGAGATAGTCAAAGGTTCAATTTTTCAGTGGCATAAATATTACAGAAACCTCCAAAAGCTATTTGTTCAGAAATTAGGGAAGTATTTTTTTTTTTTTTTGGATTTTTCCTAATTCCGCATTCAAAAACCTTTGCCGGTTTTGCTTTTTTCACACCATTCTCAATTCTCTCGCAAATCAATCAATTCTTTCTCTCGATGGCGGAGCCCAAGATTCCAGAGGCTGTGCCCCAGCCCACTGACCCGGCCAAGAGCTCGCTGGACGAGCTGCCTGCTGACCCTCTGCTGGGATCCGACTCGTTTATCGACCCGGACAGGGTTGAGCCCGAGGAAGCCTTTCCGGAGCAGGAACAAGTCGGGTTGGACCCGGCCATGGCGATTGCGGCGCAGCCGATTTCGATTCTCCGTCCCGGAGAGGAGCTGGTGACGGTGGAGAAGACGCCGCGAAGGAAAAACATGGATGAGATGTCAGTGAGACCGAGCTGGTTGCCTGAGGGCTGGGAAATGAGCCTTAGAGTTCGCGCCTCTGGAAACAGCGCTGGATTCATTGACCGAGTAGGTTTTACTTTCCTTCAAATTCATTCTTTATTTATTTTCATTTTTATCTATAATTTGAGTTGAGAGGAATAATTTTTATTTTTATTTTATGTTTGTCTCTAGGTTGTGGGTTATGATGGTAATCTGTCTGGGGTTAATCACGGATTTGTTTTTTGAATGCTTGTGGAGTCATGTAAAATGTGATTTTTCTGTGATTTGTGTGGATTCTGATTTCAGTGTTCTTGGAAGTTATAGGTTTTAGGGTTTATTTAGAGGGGTCTTAGATTAAGAGTGTAATGTAGCTCCGGGGCAGGTCGAAGACAGTGTACTCTTACGAATAGGAACAATTATGTGAAGCTGAGGGAACATCGAATAGGAATCGTGATTAACATAAAATTTGTTTACTTTTTTGAAAAAAAAAATGTGTTTGTTGCAGTCATCGATTTGCATAGACAAGTTCATTACTTATAATTAATATGTACTATACCAAGATTATTCGGCCGTTGTCCGTATGAAAATTTGATCATCTGTGTTGTTGGACAGTTTATTTTCTCTTTCGTTGAGTGTGTATATTGTATGCGGTAGCTCTGTTAATGTCACGAACTAGTTGTCTTTTGTCGTATCATTAATTTCCTAAACCAAAAATCATAAACTCACTGACATTGTTATGCCCTTTTGTGTCTCCGGATGTTCTTTTGGTTCACAATAGCCAGGCGAGGAGAGTGAAAGTATTAACCTAATTGTTTTGCACGAGGAATTTGTGTGAGTTCATGTGAGCGTATCTCAGTTTTATGTTCAGTTATTGCTTTTTTATGCCCAGATGTATATCTTTCATTTGGCCATCCTGGATATTTTATTGTCTATTTGGAATGTGTTTGTATGTGAAAGTACGTGCTTATGCATGCATGGAGAAGTGTGCTGCTTTCCTTAATAGAAGATAATAGTAATATGTTTTCTTCCGTAATGAATTGTGGTTAGACAAATCAATGATTGTGTTGGAGATTTTACATTTATTTGTTTATTACCTTATTACCAAATTTTGAGTCAGTTGTCCATAGGGTAGAAGTTGAACAAGGGATGCAAATGTAAGCACGTGTCTGTATCCTGTTCATGTATACCCCACCGATTCATTGTAGTATAGTAATTGGAGGCATGATCGTAATATTCTTTTTCTGCTTTTAGCGCGCGTAAAATCTTCCGACTATGGTTCTTTTTTATCAACTGATATTTTTGGATCCTTCGTATATTCCAAAATGACCGTTTCTAATGTTGTTGTGGAGCTGTTTTCTCTTCTTGAAGGATAGCATTGGAATAACATTTATATTTTCTATTGTTTTTCTTCTTTAAATGAATTTGTATTATACAAAGACTAAATTTTGTGCACCATTATTGTTTCTTAACAATGTTATCTTCGTAATCTTGTTTCGAAATGCTCACGTGTTACTTGGCTCGAAGATCAATAACCAAAGGTAAGTTTAAGTACATAATTAAGACAAATTTCTTTCTGTAGAGATTTGAATTGGTCAGTGACCTAAGACGATGACGACTGAATTTTTTCTGGGCAAAGGCTGATTTTACATAATTGATCTATTCAGTGACTTTTACGGTTTTCGAACTCTTTAAGAATCTCAAGCTGTTTATCCTTGCCACAATTCACAATCTTATATTAATTTGAAGATCATGCAGTCAACTTGGCCCGCTCAACAATCATATTACATTTTTTAGTTCTATCCATCTTCCATTGCTAACATTTCCTTGTCTAAAACGTTCTTCACTGCTTCCAGATGTTCCATAAATGCTTCATCCTCTTTTGTTTCGCCCATCAGAATGTAATTTGCTTGACTCTTTTTTGAAAATTTGGACCTTCTACACATTGTTGTCAAGTGCTGACCAATTCTCAAGAGTCATTAGTCTTCATTGGATCTTCATTTTCCAGTTACAGGCCCGGAGGATAGTTATATATAATTTTGTATGCCTTTGGACTAACTTCATAGCTATCTTTATGATTTTCAGAGTGTAAATGATGAGATGTAAAAAAGTGCTGAATATGATTTCTTCAACGACATGTAAGAAAGTGATGGTCTTGGAGAACATTTAGGGTTGAAATATCCCTCTTCCAAAATGATAAGGCTGAGTTCTAAAAGTGTAACCTCCTGATTTGTTTTACTTAGAAGTATGCAGGTGTTTTTCTCAATTCAATTACACAATTGGAATATTCGTTTACATGCGCGAGCAAAAGATAGATCTCTACCAAGTTTTTGAGTAGGCCTCTAGTGGATTTGATAAGAAAAGTTGATAATGTAATCGATATCAAGTTCATTTGCCAAATATACCTCTTGCTTCTTTGGGACTTAAAAGAAAACTTCAATATCTGATATTTTCATTTATTATTCCCTATTTCACTTGTAAATTTTTATGGAGTTTGGTTTCTGAAGGTGATATGCTCAAATTGGTGGTCTCGAAATAAATTTTTTATACATAACTAATGAATTTTATTCTGTATGTCTCTAGTTTGTTTGATGTGAACTGATGTTTAAACAATTGCCAAAAACTTGTGTTCCTAGTTTTTATGTGAGATTTGGTCGCTTGCATATCATGTAAAGTTGATGGTCCACAGGTTAAATGTTTCTTATGGAGGTCTGTTTCTCTTGCTAATGCCTTTATATAAGGGGTTTTGATTTAAGAAGAAATTTCAACAATCCCTTTTGTTAATGTGTTTCCATTAAATGGGTATCCTGAGGTTAGGACATTATCATCCCTGTGGAATTTAGTACTTGTTAGTTATATGTGTGTCTGACAAACATTAGAAATATATGAACACGATTCTCTCCTTGTGTGAAACTGGGTCCATGAAGTAACATTATCTGGTGAATTTATTGAATTTTGTGAAATTTTACATTTCTAATAAACATCTACTTGCTTCACTATTTTCTTGTGCCCTTAATCTTCAAAATTGTGCAGTACTACATTGAACCAACTGGACAGCGCAAGTTCCGTTCCAAGAATGAGGTCCTTCACTTTTTAGAAACAGGCAGTAAAAAGAAAAAACGGCCAACTTCTGCAACAGCTGCTGCGGTAGGTTATAAAAAAATATATATTTGTTGTTTAAGATTTCATTCTCTAATATAAAGACCATAGCTTATCTACTTGTATTTAAGATCAATACGAGTCCCTTGGCATTTGCTTTCTCTTGAAAATTGAATACAGTTGATACTTAAAATGAATACATGCACAAGACGTTGTTTAATATTTAAAGTATCAGTTAGTTGAATAATTAAATCAATATAGTGGACATATATATAATAGATGCACTCACGCACACATGTTATGTTCTAATTTTGGTTGAAAAAATGGAAAAGATATAGTTTGCTTTTGTGAAATGCGGTTTGTCTGTTGAGTCTGGGTGTCATGATAGAGAAAAGGGTTGCCCTTGTGACTTTCAAATGATGAAAGTGTATGTATAATCTCTTTGAAAAAAAAAATAATTGAGGAGAAAGAATGAATGCGAACAAGGTGGTTTCGCACGATGTTCTCTACAGTGTGTGTGTCAGTATGTGTGTGTCAGATTGTTGTGACTGCGAATTTTCATTTTTATCCTTTCGACTTTGACATGGTTAGAGCTTGTTCTTCGGATGTGGTTCAAATTTGTTATTATTCTTCTTTCCCCAAGGCAATTCTTCTTTCTCTTCTTCTTTTTTCTTGGACGGGTGTTGAGTCATTTTCTTAACTTATTTGCACTCATATCTTATGCAGCCTTCAGAGAGCCCGGCCAAACAAAATAAGTCCGGCAAGAGAGGCAAGAAGTCGGGGGACGTAAATTCTGATGCTGCTCGCCCGCAAAATGCTACCAATGGCGTTGATGCGGATGCTAGTTGATAAGGACCAATGGTAAGACCTAAGGAGTGAACATGACTTGGGATTGTAGGAAAAATGTTGGGACCTCTAACTTAAGGCTTCTTTCCTTTTAAATTATGCGGGCACATAATGTCGTCCGGATTGTGTTGCTGAATGGTAGATCCTTTTTTTTTTTAGTTTGTTTCCTACATTTGAGCTTATGTAGGATTCGGACATGCTGTGTCTAGTGATTGTGAGCTCTCTTCGTGTTGATTTGGGTTTACTTCTTTTCTTTTGTCTATTTTGATGTTCTATAGACAGGTTATAAGGTATATGTGGTAGAATCTTTCTTAAAGTAGTTCTGCAGGATATAAAGTTGCTTTTTGGAAGATTAATTGCGCACTAAATCGTTCATTAGAGTTTTCTGATGACTCCCTTTGGAGTACATACGGCCCGAAAATCAGCTTTCATAGTTTCTGGTAAACCGCTTAGACATTTGCTTCCTCCTTACAACCTTAATTTACAAACTGATGTCACATTGTAAGCTGAATATGTATTATTTTATTTTACATACATAAAGAAAGTAAAAATAAAAAAGAAAAGAAAGGAATTCACATCTAACCCGTCGGTCCCCAAATCCTTAATCGACCAAGAAGTCAGAAGACACTGTAGAGCAGTCGTATGCAATTGATATACAACCACGAGGCGACATCTTCAGCTATCGTAATGGAAAGGGGTGAGAATGAACCGGTACTGGAAGTTGATAATGTTAATACATATTGTAGTACAGATATAGGTGCCCTAGAGGCTGGTATGTAATTCAAAAATATAGACAACGTTTTTTATTTCTGCAGAAAAATATGCATACAATGTCGAATTTTTCCAGTGAGAAAAAAAAAATCGAGAAAGGATGATGGTGTTTTTATGATATCTTACTTTCACAGGTAGTTGTGAAGGAAAAAGAGTGAGTGGCACAAGGGGCTTATTGAGGTCGCAACCAACAACGCAGACAGACTGCAAAGCTCGAATCTCGACATCTTCAGATGATCATGGTTATTGGAGAATTAACACGACTTACCTCGACGATAATCACAAATGCAGTCGAGCTAACTCGAGATTATATCGATGCCATAGAAAATTGAGTGCAAGTGTAAAGCGAAGGCTTGAAGTGAATGACGTGGCCAAAATTTCATTGCATAAAAGCTTCAATTCTGCCGTAGTTGAAGTCGGTGGATACTATAATATAACATTTTTCGAGAAGATTGTCGTAGCTATATCAATTAATTTAGACGTTTAAGCCTGAGAGAGGAGGACGTTGCAACAATACAATCATATTTTTCAGATATGCAATCAAGGTGTGCTGGATTTTTCTTTTGCATGGATCTGAATGACGAACGGAAAATTTTTTGGGCAGATAATCGAAGTAGAGGAGCGAGCGTATAAAGAATTTGGGAACATCGTCACATTTGATACAACCTACTTGACTAACAAATATGACATGCCTTTTGCACCATTTGTTGGCGTTACTCATCACGGACAATCAATACTTCTAGGTTGCAGTTTGA